CTTGCTGTCTTTTATCTCGCAATCAGATGCCATTGACATACACACTTAGCCTTGCCTCTCGAAAGGCTATTTCATCCCGACTGCACTGGTCTCGCCGGCTCCTCCAGTCGGATTCGAGTCCGGGTCGCGAGAACCGTGACACGGTAAGCCAGAACTCCTCCATTTCATTAGCATAGTAGGATTGGCTGTAGGGCAAACTTGTATTTGCCAGTGGAGTCGACGAGGCTACTAACTACGTAGTGAGTAGGCACATTGTGAATATGCAGTTGTGCCAGATTATACAGTAGGATTGACTGATCGATGAGTCACCCCACAACGAAATGATCATTAAAGTCCGCATTGCCTTGCCTCCACAAAGAGCTTCTTCTTTGGGGCGGATAGCCGTCCTCGCGTTGGTACCATCAGCGAGGCAATTTGGAATGCGATGGAGACATGAAGTCCAATCAGAAGATTGAGGGAGGAGTGAACCCTCATTCCATCACCTACCTTCACGACCAGAGTCTGTTCGCAAGAGTGAACATGCCGCCGGTACCATTGAGGCGATACACAACTCGGACTCGAGACCGGCTTCCAATCGGCGAGTTGACCAAATCGGTGTCCCGCATGGCCGGTGCCAGATTGAGTCGTGGTCGAGGGCTGACACCGACGGCGCAATGTGGAAGGGACAAAAGGACTGTGACCCACGCAATTGATATCACATCGGCCCAGCGGCCGGCCAGTCTCGGCGCGGGTTCGAACCCTGTCGAAGGGGCTGTTGAAGGTGGTGGGGCCGAGGGGGCAGCTCGAGTGGATGCTGATTGAGAACAGCATTTTCGGAGACAAGGACAAGCGTACAATTTACTGACGTCCTGAGACCTGTCGCTCTCCTGTTGCCAGGGTCAACTCAACAATCGGTTCTTCAACCACCCCACGTCATTTGGGCTGACTCAGGCTCTAGTCAACCTTTCATCAAGAAAGGTCTACTTTTTGATCACACTTGATCTCGAATAAAATCTTGAATAAATAATTCAACTCTCTGTCCATGCATCTCACCTTAAGCCAAACAGCAAATAAATAACTAAATAAGTAGATGAATAAAAAGTTGTATCTGCATGTTTACATGCATTTTATAAGGCGGTTTCATGTTGCCAGGCGCCCTGTCTCACAAGTGCTTACGCTGTTTGCCAATGGTTGGCTGGTTCTAAAAATATCCACAAATATCATGTCCGACGAAAAAGGGTGCATGGAGTAAAGAATAATGAGGTTGGCATTTTGTCGATAAGTTAACAAAACATCTGATTTTATCAACCAAATTCTGCCCAAAATTCCTTTTCCATTCAGACTTGCTTACAGTCTCAGCTCCATTTGAAGTCCCACTCCGATGGGGTAGGTTTAGAGTCCACCAGCAGGTGTGGAATAAGGTCTGCATTCAGCCAAGGTCGCATGGGGGTAAAGACTGAATGACGGTTGACCTCTTCTACACTCATTTCACTTTGTCCTGCCCCCCGAAACACTTTCTCATCCCAACCAGAGTGGGATTCCTACCTTCCTTGAAAGGCACTTTTCTTCTGCAAGCCAACTACGAACAAGGAACTCTGAAGTCTACAGTGTTCTTTCGGCTGTGACGCTTTGAAACTCACTTTTACATCACCAACGACCAAATTTCGGTACCATCTAACAGTTG